CCGAAGTATATATTTTTTCTTTTATTAAACATCAACAAAGAATCACAGCAACAAACATGAAGGACTTCTACAAACATATGAAGTATAAACACGGCGAAAACACATGTATGGCACTGAAAAGATACAGTAAACTAAAACAGAAGTTAACCAAGCAGATGGCGCAACTTAAGTTCTTATTAGAATGCAGGATATATAACCTATTACCAAATCACTTGACAAACGCAATAAAGAATGTCAATATTAACACCACATCCCACAAACTTAAAGCACAAACCGAAAAAACAAAACAACTTTTTTTTTAAAGAAAATACGCAAACAAACATGAGTATTATAACTTCTAAGGGCCAGTTTTTCAGTGCATGGCCGTGGTTTAAACTAAGATCAGCCAATCAAATGTCAAGCAGCTGTTCAATTTAAACTCAGTTTACTTAAACTAAGTTTAAACTGGCACTGAAAAACTGGCCCTAAAACCCACATACACCACGCGCAACTACAACTTAAACACAGTATAAGCGAAACAGAACTGTAGTGCGATTCTGTAACTCTTAGCAATAAAAAAATTGTTAGTTTACATAACAACTTTTGCCGTTTGCACTAACAATTGTGTGATTCTCTAACTCTTGCTTAACAGCGAAAAACAGCTGATTATTCCTTTTTATTTAAAATGATGAAATGTGGCATCTCAGTCGAGATAAATGTCAAATATGCGAAAAGTACAAAGAGGAATAAGAAAAAAAACTTATTTCCTTCCCGCGGAAATGGAATTTTTTGCGCCAGCAACGTATTGCAATTTTAAAAGGTAGTATTTAGTTGTTTTAGTTATTAATTGGAATTTACTAGGACTTCTTTCATTTCAGGATGTCTATCCAGCCGACGAAAAGGAGCCGTGCATCGGTGGAGCAGTTAAGCGCGATGCTTGACTTTCTGGGTGAAAACCCGAATGTGGCGAGCGGCAAGTTCCAGAAGCTCCATGGCAAGTTGGAGAACACCAAGAAGTGGGCAGAGATGGCAGATAAATTGAATTCTCTTGGGGGGGGGCTGCCAAATCTGTGGAGCAATGGCAAAATGTAAGTATAAGTGACAAAGTACGAGCATTTCCGGAAATGCATTACTGCAAAACATCGCACCTCTTATTCCAAAAATATGTTTGCTGAAATCAGACATCATTATATACTTAAGTATAAGAAAAGGTGCTTTGCAGTAAGGCATTTCCGAAAACGGCCTACACCAAAGTATGAAAGTGTGTTTCTATTTTGCAAAAGGTCTGGCGCGACCTAAAAAGTCGAACATCAACGTGAGTTCGTGATCGTAAGAGGTAGCAAGCATTGACGGGGACTATTTCGTTTCAACAGCCTCCCTTGAACGAATTGGAGAAGCGGGTAATAGCTCTAGTGGGAAGCAGCTATATGGAGGGGCAACCGGATGTCCAGGAGAATATTCCCATGGAAGAGGTAAGTTGAATTGTACCGTATTAAAAGCCCATGCCAATATGTTAATCATATTGCAATATTCATTATGC